CTCTCTCCACCCCCCGGGGATCTCTGTCCATGTGGCCCGCCTTGGCAAGGGAGCCGCGCCTCAGTTTCCCCTCCTCTGAGGACGCCCCTCCCCCAACCGAGTGCTCCGCCGCCCTGCCCCGACGGGACGGGCTGCCAAGCGCCTCAGCCCCCGGGCGGTGACGGGTCGGCTGCCCCCTCCCCCCCAGCAAAGTGCAGCTGAAGGACTCGAACGGGTGCAGCTCCCCGTGGCCCTGCCCGAGCTCGGGCGGCGGCTCCAGCCCCGCAGGAGTCTCCTCCCCGGCCCTGAAGCCGGGTCGGGCCGAGGGCCCTGGGCTCGTTCCGTCTGGAGAAGAGCGGGCTGAGGGGCTTCACTAGCAGCCCTCGACTCCCTGCAGTGCAGGGGGTGACGAAGGGGCTGGAGCTGTCCTGTCACCTGCCACCACTGAGAGCAGTCCAAGGAGCAACCGGCGCAACTTGCAGCAGGGGAAGTTCAGGTTAGAGGTCAGAAGAAACTTCCTCACGAGGAGTGTAAAAAAGCACTGAAACAGGTCACCCAGGGAGGTGGTGGGCTCTCCTGTCCCTGGGGGTTTCTAAGACCCCGCTGCAAGCCTTGGCTAGAGTGACAGGGCTGGGCCTAGTCCTGCTTGGAGCAGGGGGGCAGACTAGACCCCCCTGAGGTCCCTTCCCCCCTGAGTTTTCTATGATTGTAATTTCTTATTTTTTTAATCTTTTTCCTGCAGATATCTTAGACTGAAGAACCACATGCACTTTCCCACCTGAGCAACTTGCTGTGTGCATCTATAGTCCTCAGGCTTTTTTTCTTCCTTTTAAATCATGGTATAAGTGTAGGCAGGGGCTGAAACATGGATGCTGGTGAAGGGGCCAGCTGGGGAAGGGGGATGCAGAGCCTGTCAGCTCATCTCAACTCTTTCATGTTGAAACTGCATGCCAGGGAAGGGAGCTTTGTATGACACTCCAGCTTCCTCCATCTGCCACTCAGAGCTTTTCAAGTGAAAATGTAGGAGCCTGGCAGCCTGAAATGCTTTAAGTGCCGGGCAGAGAAAGCTTGAACATCACTTAAAACTCTCTCTGCCAGGAGCTTTGCAGAGCAGCTATGACAGTTTCCATGACTGCCCCTTCCCCCAGCTCCATTCCCATGAGCCTCAGGCAGCCTTCATCTCTTGTAATAAAGCTTATTCCAGGAGCGGGCCCTTCCTTATAGCTCAGCCAGCGAAACCCTGGATTGCTTAACTGGCTGAGCTGAGACAGACCTTCGGACAACACTTTCACTGACAACTTCCTTGTGGGTGACTTAACCTGCAGAAAAGCAAACTGTACACTGCAGTCCCTATCAAAACTAATGCTGGGTGAGACAGAGGTATAGATGAGATGGGCTAAAGCTCAAAGTAGATAATACTAGAGCGATGGCAACAGGCTAAGGGAAGCAACCATAACATGTAATAGTAATACCTGCTCCCACCACTTGTCAGTTGAGTTAGCAAATCAGCAGGGGCTGACTGAATCCCCAGCTGCTAGATAGGCAGCCACAGAAGCAGAACTTTCTAGGAAGGTCTTGCCCCTCCCACAACATGCCAAGACTTGATCGTTTCTGGTACCAAGCTTCTAGTCTGATCTTTGCATTCTCTGTCTCAGATTAGATGGCTGCAATGTGCTCCAGGTGAACTATTTGGGAACTGCAGCTACCTCAAAAAACAGGTTCTGTCTTACTAAGTGTTCTCTCTCTCTCTCCCTCCCCAGTAACACAATGCATTAGTGGCTCTGATCTGCACTGGATGCCTGACTTGTATACCCGAGCCATATGTTTCTCCCCATATGACTGCTGCAACTGTGGTCAACAGAAGTGATCGAGTTGTAGAGCTCCCTAGATACAAAAGGAAGTTGTTTCTGGTGTGGTCTCCATAAACCACCTTCCAGATTGCAATTTACTACTCCCAGGTATTTACCTAACCCTGTAGGATGTCCTCCAGGCAATCTTAAGTCAGTAGTTCTTAACATTTTTTCTACCAGGACCCATTTGTAAACATCATTGGCCAGTTGCAACCCAGTGCCCCTCCTGACCTGCTGTCCCCCAGGCCCCAGCACCCTTGTGTGTGGGGCATGGGGTGGCACAGTGTGGAGCATGGTGTGGTCCTAAGCAGCCCTTTGCAGGCTGGAAATCTGCCAGCCTGCAAGAGAAAAGCCACAGTTACCTGCATTTTTTCTCCTTTAAAGCAGAATCCGTTTTTAAAGTTTGTTTGCAACCCTTTTGATATATTCTTGCGACCCACTTCTGGGTCACAACCCACAGATTGAGAAACACTGCTCTAAGCAGTGCTTCTGCCTCAAGCATTCAGGGAAAGGAGAAGCAGGATACAGGCTGTAATCAGAAATGGTAGGATGCATGGGTCAGATTTGGATTTCAGATTTGGTTAACTGTGCCTCTGGCATAGGGGTGGAAAGCAGCTCATGGCTCAATCTTATGGGGGGGGGGGTTGGGTTTTTTTTAACCTTTAGGGTAAGATTGCTTAGAGCAGTGGTGCTCAAACTCTGGCCCACTGGGCCATGTCATCCACCCTATGGAGTTCCCCACAGGTTTGGAAATTTGGCAGCAGGGGAGCAGTGGCAGCATTAATTGCTGTGGCCAGATCTATCATGCAAGGCAGGGCTGGCACGTGGAATCACACCCACAGGTTGACCCTGTGCACCAGCACTGTGCTGGATTTGGTCCACAGACTGACCCTGCCCATGGAATCTGGCTGGCAGTCCATGCCCACACCATTCATCTGATTTGTGGGGACAGAAGATTGAGCACCATTGGCTTAAAGCACAGCATAGATGTCTTTGTATACATTAAATGTTGCTTATATGAAAAAAAAATTGTAAGAGACAAAAAAAATTACCATGTAAATAAAAATCATACAAGCATGTGCACTTCTAAACACAAGATAAATTAAATATCTAAGAGTCAACTTTTAAAAATTCAGGAATATTAAATACAAAAACTTGTTATGAAAAATACAGCAGTATTAGAATTGCCACACTGAACCAGTCCTGTGGTACATGGCATCCAGTATCCTATCTCCAACAGTGGCCACTGCTAGATACTTCAAAGGCAAGCACAACAACAAAAATGTACGTTTTTAAGTGCTGGTAACACCAATTAATCAGCAAATGTACTTTGAACATAGAATTAACTTGTTCTGTCAATCTGCACACACTAGATATACTACTGTTCCAGAACTGCCTATGAGAAAAATGTACCACTGTTGATGTGAGAGTTCGTTTAATATAACGAAGCAAAATAAGTGGCCGCCTAACCTTATTAATGAAAAGTTACAAAGGTCATATGTTAAGTTTTATATGTGGTATGCTATGTCTTAAAGCAGGGATGGCCAACCAATGGCACAAGTGCCATGGGCAGAGGAGACTGGCAGCACAGCAAGAGATGGGGCAGGAAACAGAGCAGACAAGACACACAAGCAGGAAGCAAAAAGTGGGAGAAAATTGGACAAGGAACAGAAAACAGACTGAGCAGAGGAAGAAGGATCAGTGTGGCACTCAGGGAGGGTAAAGATTAATTTGTGGGACACCTGCCAAAAAAGTTGTCCCCCATTATCTTAAATTATAAGAGTTGCTGCTCATCCATAAGACACCTAATTAAGAAGTACCAAAACACTATTTGTCGCATTTAATTATATTCCTGCTAAAGTGACCCGCAATAATGCAGTTAGCAACACTCATTTTATATCATCATCTTTTGATTTCAGAGTTAACAAAAACTATGGAGTTGAATGGCAAGGCTCACCCCTCCGAGAAATTGTTTTAGGATGCCTGCAGACTCAGGAAGAGAATATAGTATCAGTTTACATTTAGTTCACATTTTTCTACTTTTTCTTCACAACCAAAAGCTACACTTTATTTTAGAAGCAAGAAACTCACATTCTGGATGATCTCTGGAATAACTATTTGACCACAACCAATCCAAAACAGAAATTATTATGTTTGATAGAGCTAATAAAAATTAATCCCATTAAGACACTCGTATCCCAATCCTACCATCAGATTTCCATTACTGTAACTCAGTGCCTGTGTAGATCCAATTCTAGGATCAAGATCAGTAGCCTTCTCTACATCAGATTTTTTTTAAGTCTGATTTATAGGAGTTACTTTTCAAATATTAAAAATATGGAATTTATTAAAACCAAACTTATGAGCACTCCCCAAAAATAACTCTTAGAGCCAATTTTAAACGGAATTTTACTCACTGTTGTAAATTCTCAAATGTCTTCTAAGATTAAGTGCTGTAAATTGACTGTTATTCCAACATAAGAAAAAATGAACTCCCCACTATTTAATGCAACACAACCATAGCTGAGGAGCCAGCAGGACACCTCTGCAATAAAAATCTTGCCCCTTTGTTACTCTCCAATCCCTCCTCCTTTGCTGCAAACATCCCTTTTACTTTTATACAAATGAGAAGTGGGTTCAGATTTCTGATCTAGCTACAGGTTAGTAATTACTCAGAATCATTATCCCACTCCAGACAGCTATGTTAAGGGTGAGGTGGGGTATTTTCTGTCTTGGTCAGTGTTCACAGTCGACTCTCAAAAGCCATAGGCACTGCCTAGAACCTACAAGGAGAAATGGGATTCAAATGATGTTTATTGCTTTTCTACATTAAAGGCAGTTGTGCCAGGTCAGGATTGAGGTTTACAGGGTAGTGACATTGTCTTTCCTGTGGCTGGAGGATACTGGCTTTCAGATGCTGTTAATTCTGTACCTTTCAATAGTACCTAAGTCAGTCTCTCAAAAAAATCCTAAAGAATATCACCAATTAACTTTCCAATCCCATCTGCCTGGCTGCAGGAAACAAGTACACGGGCATCTGTAAGAATGACAGGACCTCTGAAGGCAGCTGGTGGGATTATTTGAGGGGAGTTTTAAAGAATGAGCTTTTTCAATGCTGATGAAGAGTACTGAATGAGCAGCATGTAGAGACTCATGTCTCCACACAGGAACAAATGCACAGATTCTTCTGAAGCACACTAACAGAACCCCCTTCTCAAAACAGCACCTCTGCCTGGACCTTCCTCCCTTAATTCTGTTTCATGTCGTAGACAGACTCTCCCATGCACTTGAACAGCTTTTATCTCTAGTGGTCGTATGCTATGAGGATGGGCACTAAAGAAAAAACTTCAAGACAGATAGTACAAAAGAGGACAATGAGATCAGGCCCCTCCAGGTCACACAATCAAGGATGGCAACTTACGCTCGCTGTGGGACAGCTAATTCTTTAGACAAGTGTAAAGCAACAGCAGCTAGTCTGTCTCTCTCCAAGAAAGACATCAGGCTGGCTGCATTCATTAACATTTCCTAGCACTATTCCCACCAGCCCTTCTACTTTCTGTAGAGTGCCTTAGCTAAAAAGTTTTATATATCTTGCCCCACTGGAGAGGGAGGAAGTATCAGACCATTCCCTGAATACTGGAGTGAATGCAGGAAGGGCTCCTCCTTCATTAATTCCCTAGGACTGGATTTTCTCCCAAAGACACTAAAGAAATCTTATGCCTCGTAGAAATACTCTGTGTAGAGCACTCAACCCAGTAGTCATGACTTGGCCATCATTTGGGAATGGCTCTCCTCCAGACAACAAGAAGATCTCCATATACCACACACTGAGTCATACAGCCAGATTTCAGCAGCCAGGCTGAAGTAGCCTGAGGCACATCCAAGGAGAAGATGATAAAAGTGGTTGAATGTAGGAATCATGGGAGGAAAGTCAAGAAATATCAGCATAGGAGACAAATCTGTTTCTGTTGTCTTAATATTTCGATAGGGCTCATCCTCCATCTTTGTTGCAAAGAACTGCTGCATGGAAACATGATCTTTGTTCCTTAACACCTGCTCAGTTTCTGCTGCTTATTCTTTACATCTCTAGTTAGAAGCCTCTGCTTGCAATATTGGAATTGGTTGCTGTGGAAGTGGTTCTGATGTTGCAGACAAAGGGACACGACTCCAGCAAAAGGGTTATGAACAACAAACGCTGAACTCTGAAGGATAAAGGATCCCATTTCTCCACAGATATCCAAAATAAGGAGGAGAGGAGGGAGAATTAAAAATAGAAAACCACATAAATATATGGTTCACTGGCAAGACTGTCCAACAAGGCAGAAAAGGTCATCAATAAATCTTCATTATCTGAATCACTAAATGTACCTAAATTTATAAAAGGAAAAAATTCAAATGGTCTTACCATAAACCAATTCTCCCTTGCCAGAACTTGCTTTATGGAAAGAATTTCTTTGTAATGTGTTAGCCTTTAACAGGGGTTTTCTTTCCTTTTTTTTGGCTGGGGGGGGGGGGGGGGGGGGT